GTGTGATTTCTTCACAGAATAAAGAGTAATTGTTGTCCTATCCATCCATTCACTCTTTTCATGTGCTTGATCGTATTTGTTAGGATATCAGATAGCTAACTCATTCATAGTAGGGACAGACAAAAAAGATCAGCCGTAACAGTTTCACCTATATTTTGAGTATTCTGTAGAATCCAGGACTATGTTTGTCTCCGCCCTTACAAAGAGTATTCCAGCTTTGCATGTCTCTGTTCCTGTTCCCCTTGCTGTTATCAGTGGTGTTCAGAGGCCAGAATTTGGCTTTTCCTGATTACAGCCTGACTGGAAACAGGAAAAGACAAAAATCTTGTAATACTGGTAGTCTAATTGTGCTGAACTTATGGATTTCACAGTGTCCAAGAAATTGTCAAAAAAGTTCAGATGTCCTTATGAGCTGGGCCTCCCAACCATTGACATTCCTGCCTTGCTCACTGGGGCTCCCAGGGGACCTGGCATCCCTCAGCCTGGGCCTCAGGCATGCCCTCGGACTGACAGCCACCTATCCTGCTAGCCAAGGGAGAGTCAATGTAAGGTGTCAAAAAAAGCACCATATCCTCCAGTCTGTCCTGAGAGGTGCTGCCTACACAGGAGGCTTCCTGAATCACCAGGAAATGCAGAGCATAGATGTAAAATCCTGCCACCTTCACCTCTTCTCATTCAGGCAAAACAAAGAAATACAAGAAGAGAAAAGCCAGAAATAGATTAATTCCCTGGGGCAGCTGCAGTCCAACTTGCTGCTTCAGCTCCCTCTCCTGCGCCTCACCTGCCAATGCTGAAAACCCACCATGAAATCATGAGCACTTTACGATACCGGTCCTTTCTTAAAAAACAATCACAGTGCCTCTGATTTTCTTCCCTGTGATTGTTCCACAATGTGTTTGGGCTGCCTGCAAAATTATACCCAAAAAAAACCCAGAAGCATATTACAATTTACACCAGGAAAAATTTTTAATCTCATAATTTAAAGCCAAAATAATTGAGATTGTGGCTTCTTTACCACCATCAACAGTGCTTTGATCCACTTCTGTAATTCTCATACAGGTACAATGATGGCTGGGGGACCTGAGCTCTTGGCCATGTATAGGGTGAATAGAAGGTAGCTGAGGTAATCCAAGAACCAGCTAAAATGGTCACAAGATTTGCCCATCAATCTGCTAGCTACTGTTCTTCCTCAAACCAGATGTCTTATCTGTGTTATGCCACTGAAGTGCAAGATAAATACTATTGATGGTCTGAGGCTGGGGACACCACGTTGATCAGAATAGCCAAGATAGGAGCCTGGAGATCTGCTAAACTAATGGCAGAGATAAAGTAAGTTAGGAGAATGGAAATTAGAAAGCATCACTGTGCGCCTTCTCTAAGTCACTAAATATGACTCCTTGTTTCCTAGCAGACTTGGTCTGAACTCATATTGTCTATCAAATAGTATGCAATTTCTTCAATTATCAGCTTTTATGGAAGTCTGACAATTGTTTCTCCACACCTTGGGAGCTAATGTTCTTATATTCCAAAATAAGAGACGACATCAAAGGGTGCTGACCTAACCAGCCCTAACGAGTCTGCACTGGTCAAAATACATCCACAGACACCCAGGCTTTCCGAGCGCAGTGTGCTCATTTCAGGAGATCAAGGTGACCCCCAACTGCATCCGAGCTGTTTACAAATAGTTTTTCTAATCTTGTAGTCCTTCTAATCTATCTCACTCAGTCTAAACAGCATTCTTACTGCTATAGAGCAAAACCATTAATTAATATTGCCATAACAAATTAGTTATAGAGGGGTCCTAAATTAAAAAAGAATAGGTGTGAAAATCACATTCACTCCACTTTGAAATGGCTTAGTGCTGCTGTTGCTGGTTTGCATTCAGAGCCTCCAGAGCAGTAGTTGTCAATTTATTTGTTTAAATGAAACCTCATTGTCTTTTGTGTATGTATCATCAAAAAGCAGCAGTGGTTTTTTTTTTTTCCTTTGGCAAATAAAGCTAACCACTTGAATCCAGTTAAGTCCCCTATTTTCCAAAAGCTTCATTTGCAGACCAAAGCAACCTCAGTATCCCCGTTGCAATGATTCTTTACTCCAAGCAGGTCAAGGATTCCCACCAGCTAACTTCAGGGTCACCTTGGTGAACAGTGTCATGGTAAGAACAACCACCGTGTTGGAGAAAACCCTGGTACCCCACGCCTCTCATCCACTTCCCTCCAGAAATCTGTTTCTCTGTGTTGCAAAAGTGGTTCATTTTCATGCGGTATTAATTGTTCCTGCCTCCTTCACTTTATTGGTCTCACTATCCTCATTTGCCAACTTCCTTGCAGCCATGCCTTCTCACCTGTGTCACAATTAAGCTGAGGTTGGCAGTGATAGGTTTGACTCTGGTGCGAAGAGGTACAGCACTCAGATCTGGCATTGAGCTTGTCTTTAAGTCCTACGTGATATAGAGGATGCTCAGGGTTTTCAGAGCATTAGGTAT